CCCCCCCCCCCCCCTTTCTCGACAGTAGCCAGAATGACCAATACATTGATCGTGGGCCCTCAAAACATAGAAGAGGAAGAAGACATGTCTGTCAGAATGATAATGCAAACACAGCTGTCAGTGGAACATACAAAAAAAAAACTTGGAACTCATTTTACCTTTCACAGGGTGATAGTCTTGTGACAGTCTTCAGGCATTCTTTAGTTACATTTCTTACAACAGAATGCTCCAAAATTATAAATAATAAACAGAATATCAGTAAAATTCTTCCCTCCCAAGTCAACCATTCAGTTCGAAAGAAGCCTTCATTTTAATTAAAAGATATAGATATATATATGTTTATATTTTCTAGCATGCTACCTTTCAGCACAAATGTGACAATGTTCGTTTGATAAAACTAGAAAGGTTTTCCAGTCGGGTTTGAAGGTAATAAAACTCAGCATATTAAAAAATTCATTTACTCAAGATATTATTTCACTACGAGTTGATTAATAAATATTAATTCATGATACAAAAACATGTTGCACAAGACCACTATGTAAAGACATACAGAGAACATAGTATTTACATTTCATTTTTTTTTTTTTAAAAACACCCCCCAGATTCACTGTTATGGTTCTGTCTCGTGACATAATGTCAACCTTTAAGATTTCCCATCATCTGATACCCAGCAAGGAGAATGAAACTATGTTAAGACTTCAAACTTTCAAAAAAAAATTTTTTTTCTTCAAAATATGTATTTCCACTACTGTACTGACATCCAACCATTACAGGATGCAAATATCTGTCTCATCTTTGTTAATGTCTAAACACAGTGCTGGTAGCAAAACCTTATGACAGTACAGTTAAACACAACTTGTTTGCCATATGATTAGTAACAGAAAACTATACCATGGGAAATTCCCTCAAAGCCTCGACACATTTTTTTTGAACAAAATTAAAAATAAGCATTAAAATGTACAAGTGATTGTGTTTCCTCCTGCACCAGGTCACCAAGTAAAAGTTACTCTGCATGGCCGTGACCTTGGCTGAGGAAATTCCCAATGCCAATGCCAAACTTGTATTTGTTTTTGAGGATGGGGATCTGGAATCCATCTGCCTTGATCTTGTTGACGACAACCATGGAGGTGGTGAACGTGTTGCCCACAAACAGAAAGAGATGAATGAGACCCAGAGCCAACACCTGAAAGGCACAGCACAGGATCGTGTTAGCCAGTGGACAACATTATAAGAATACTTACAACATAATATGTCACATAGGACTCAGGAGATTTAATGATAATAAAAAAATGAATTACAATTTTTTTTCCGACTGTAACTAACACGCTACATCAAGCTTATCAAGATTTTTTATATGCCCCACACAATGCCCAAGGTGGGTTATATTTTTAAATGCATCAAATATAATTTTGGTTTCACATTTTAAGCAATACTTCCTCTTCTTAATTTTATTAGTCTCTAATGGTATGTGGATGGCTGTTTTTTTCCCCTAGTGAAATAATTTAATGTAGATGTCTTGTGTTAAAATTGTTTTAGTTTAAAAACGTGGGCTTTAATTAAATATATATTTATTTATGTGCTGAAAATGTATATGTACAATGCAATAAAAAAAAAATATTTCTATTTGTTTAGATCAATATAAGAATCTTATCTTATCTTATAATAATTTCTTAACAGATATAATACCCCCAGTATAACAAAACGGCTCATCATGTAAAAAAGGTTGCACACCCCTGCAGTAAACTAATGTTTTCAGATTACCACTCTCCTATGAAAATGCTGAGCAAATTTTAAAAATATATTGGATATAATATAAACCACCTTTACCTGCCATTCTGTGCAGTTAGGATGATATGCCAGTTTGAATAAGCTGTAGGCATTATACAACTGGAAAAACTGAGGGGGGAATAGAAACAAGACAAATGGAAGAAAATGATACTGATTATATTGCCTATCTAGCTATTGTCTTTTAGATGTATATTGGCCTGTGTTGTTTACGGTTGCAAGGCATGAAAGACTTAGAATGGGTATTCTTGTATGTAGTTTTGTTGAATTGTGTACTTCAATGTGGTATGTACTGCGCTTCGAGCCTTTGGGGATGAAGCGTGATTTTTTAAATAATCTTTATTATTATTATTATATATCAATAATATTATAGGCATGCTGCTGATAAATTATTGCTTGAATGTTATACAAAATTTCAACTCGGCTTTTCAATGAGTATCCACTGGGTACAACTGACAAACAATATGTCACCAGCAGCCATCCTGCTGACAAGACAAGATAAGCGGTCAACAACGGACAAGACCAGAGTACATCTGAGGCCCCGACTGTCAAGACCGGATGAACATGGATGATGTTCAAGATGAGAAAACAAAACAGAAAGGGGGGAAAAAGGTGTGGATGTTTGAGTGCGTGTGTGTGTGGATGACTGCTAAAGAATGTGATTAAGCAATGGGCAGGGCAGTAACTCCAACCCATTGTTGTTTGGTGGCTACATAGTGGAAGTAAAATATGGCAGTTAACAGATTTACATCTATCAAAGACATTTTGACATTGATCATAAAATTGAAAGCTGTGTTAACTTTCCTGGCTCAAAAAGTATGTGCTAGTACTTCAAGCAGACTGGGTACATTTCCACATATAACCAAACACCATAAACTTTACCTGCATAAATCAGATATTATATCACTACTAAACGGTAATCCATTCTAAATATTTTATTTATGATACCTGACAACAAGCAAAAAAGTTACTTTGCACTTTTCACAATGGTTTTACATCGCACAATGTTTTTATATTACACAATGTTTTTATATTACGAAATGTTTTTATATTACACAATGTTTTTATATTACGAAATGTTTTATATTACACAATGTTTTATATTATACAGTGTTTTATATTACGCAATGTTATATATTTCGCAATGTTATATATTTTGCAATGTTTTATATTATGTAATGTTTTATATTACGCACTATTTTATATTATGCAATGCTTTATATTACGCACTGTTTTATATTATGTAATGTTTTATATTACACAATGTTTTGACAGTGCAAACTGTTGAAGCCAACACAACACCAAAGTTACTTATCAATCAACAGAATACAGCAACAAAATTGATTAAATGAAGTTACTTACATATCCAAAGAATAGGAAGGGCAGCAAGAATGACAAACCTTTCCACATCCATGACATGAAACCCTCTGAAAGATAAGATAACAAGACAAAAACTATATAAAAAAAAAAGAGTAAAATATCAAAAATGAAATGTCAAACTTCCTTATCAATTAATAAGAAACAGAATGGTTCAATTAAAGATTACAAACTAGATTACTTCACTGGAAATTCATTGTCCTGTAACTAAAAATAAACTATCATCTTGTGATCTAAAGAGATTATAACAGTTAAGGATGAGGAAATGGAAATGCTTTAATCAAGACATCAAATTTTTGCCTACAATATCCGACGACACAACTTGAAACTTACAGACTGTAATGTCCATCTCATGACTTTTGCCAAGTGACCTAAGAAATGGGACTTGCTAACTTACTGACTGTAATGTCCATCTCATGACTTTTGCCAAGTGACCTAAGTCTATAGATCAATGGGACTAACTAACTTACCGACTGTAATGTCCATCTCATGACTTTCACCAAGTGATCTAAGTCTATATAAGCAGCCACTTTGGTAGTAATATTGAAGCACGTAGATAAAACCTAGGAATATAGAAAGAATTATTATTGCCAATCTCACATAATGCTGATAAAAATTTACCTTCAAACATTAATTGTTTGAAATATTCTCAACATAAAAATTTCTAAAAGCTTTGCAAATGAACTAATTTATCTACAAAATGGTTTATTTGTGCTCACTTTAACCATATTAACATAAAAAGAATCTAATGTTTCACTTACTTATGTACATAACAAAGAGTATGTTCTGATAACGGAACTGAGAATAAGTGTAACCATCTGGCCTGGAAAATGGCAAAGGATAAATGCAAATGATTATTTCTAACCGCATCGGGTTACCTCTAAGTGAAAACAAAAAATAATAACACATCTCTTCTCCACTATAAATTATGTTTCAAAGGAGAAAAAAAGAATTTGAAAGTAATGTCAGAGACTGGCTCAATCATATAAAAGAGTTGAATAAAATTTTTCTTTCAAGTTCCAGATAAAAAGAATTTGGTTGCATGTCAGCAACACGTAGGATTAAGGACATTGGACTTATTCTGTAATTAAGGTTACATTATTATATTCATGGTAAAAAAAATAAATGTATTTCAAATATGATGTATTTAAAAGAACGGAATCAATAGAATTTCTACTGACAGTTCAACGCCGAACATAAGGTCAAAGCTCTTCAAATGAGTGACAGAGTCAGACAAAATAAACAATTCCTTTCTTACCATATGAGGCTGATCGCAGCACAAACTGTTGATATGAAATGATGAGTCATCCACCATCCTTTAATCCTGAAATGGAAAACAAAATGTAAGCGAAACGGTTATTTCAGATTTCAATATATACAGCAATGATATTTTGGTCAACAACATTTTTTTAATGCTTGATTAGGAATTAAAGGGAAATGGTTTTCTAAAGCTTTTTCTCATCAAAGAAGAGAAAGGATTTTGAAGTTTCTTAAAGATAATGATGCAATTTACCTTGAACCGTTCACCCTCAATATGCTTTCTCTTATAGTCAGTGTACAATAGTACCACACTAGTAGAAAATTGACCACAGCATCACACCACCTGTAACAATTTTATTTTGTCCATAAAACTTTAAATTCATTACATCGGTTAAACAAAATATGTGTTCATTGAATTTACTAGGAGAAAAAGAGTCTAGGTCTCTGTAGAACCGACTCTCGTGTTTATGTATAAATAATGTAGAATCACTAAGCCATATCATTTACCTTGAGCTCACAGCAAATGCTGCCACAAATGATAATGCCAGGATGATGTAGCTCACTGTAAGCTTAAATGTCTCATAGTCTTTCTTGTAGATAAACCTGTGTGTTAAATGTTTTAAAGGCACATTACGCATAAAACATATTTTCTAAATTTATCTCTAGTTAAATGACATTGGGGAAAGTCCACTGGATTTTTTGGTCCCAACCAGCACTTCGTGAATAATTGACGAACAACTATTCCACACAGTAAAGTATTTATTGCTTCAATACAGGGATTTGTTTGACGTTCAAGATAAGAATGGAACCTTTTCAAAGACCAAACTCTTGAAGACATTTTTGTTAAGTGGGTGACATAGTGACACATAACATTCTCTACTTACTTTGCCTCTTTTGTGAGAAGTGAAACATTAACTTGGCCTAAAATTATCCTCAGGTACAGACTGCCAGAGGAGAACAAAAATAAATTATTTCAGACTAATATTCAGTAAAGTCACAAAGGGAGAGATTAAAAAATAGTGCACAATTTATATATAAATATGTATATATTTTTAAAAAAGTAGATCTATGAAGATGAACTATACCCTAAAAACATGTCATTAAATATAGCTCGCTAATATTTAGAAAATAACAGTCTGGAATAATTTTTCCAGACACTACAGATTTGGCCCACAAAATTTATTAACTATATAACGTTACACAAGCTTTGAAAAATATATACATTAGTGATTACCAAAAAAAAAAAAATTATAAAAAATTTAATTTATCAGAATACAATGTTGACTTTAAGTGGTGTACATTATATAAGAAGAAAATCAAAGCCAATTTTCAATAATTAATAAAAATTAAAAATAGATATTTCAAAGAAAAATGTAAGCATGCCAATATAACTCACCCATTTTTATGTGGCAGATTCTCTTCCATCTCATGAAAATTTATTTTCCGTTCAGTCATTTTTACTTTAAGATCTGCTGCTTGCTTTTTCTCCTCTTCACTTGGGGAGCCTTTAGTGGCTCTTGGAAATAAAACAAATTAACTTTTAGCTTTAAAAGCTATAAGCTTGGCATTATGAGACTAAACTAGAATACTTGTGCACATTTCTGGTGTACTATAATAATACTCTTCTAATACATAAAAAAAAGCCAAATTCTACAGCAATTTGTAATGAAGCTGAAGAACCAAAATCTTTTTATATTTAAAAACACATTTTACTGAATACAATTCAAAATTACTACAAAATTTGAAGATTACCTGGCAATATTGTCTCCAATACATTTTAATCTGTATCTGTGGTGAGCAATCTGTGCAAGACATTTCTTTTGAGCGGCACTAAGTTTAGCCAACAGGTCACAGTAATTTTTATGCTCTTGCTAGAAAATAAATCATAAGTAGAACAGTTTAAAGACAAAGGGAAATCAGGCATCTTGTTAATGAATCGCAATGAAATTATTGCAACCAAACTAATTTTCAAAATCTATGTTTTCATCTAACACTAAGCCATTTTGCACTTTCCAAGCCAGCTAAATCTTTTTCCCTTTTGAAACATGGCTGTGGGAGCTGAATTACTGGAATTTTCTTGTTATTATAGTCATTGTACTTCTACATGTTCAATCTCCTGGCCCATGAAGCTCAAGGTGTCCCAACACCTGGGCCTACAACAATAAACAATCAGCACAGTTACAATACATGGCCAATGCAAAGACAGTTATAGGTCCCTATGCTGGCTATGTAATGTTAAACCCATATTAGATGTATGCTTCTCCTGGGTCCTAGACTCTGAAAGTCAAGTTTCTCTCTCTGTTTTTTTTTTTTTTAACAATCAATAAATTTAACTGGATTTAGCATGCACTATTAACGTTTTGTTGTTGGGTATATTTGAAAAGGTGTCAAACAGGCCTGCACGGAACTAATAGGCCTAAGTAATTCATGGTCAAATAAAATTAAGCTTCGTGTCTATTCATCCATAATTTTTAACAGAAAATATGGCCTGTCATATATATAGGAAAAACGGTATAACACTGGTTATATTCTGATTAAAAATGTCTAAAAATTTATGAGGAGAAAATAGATGCTTTAAGTGGATGAGTGGCATAGCTAGGATTTTTGGAGACAAAAAAAAAGGGGGGAGGGGGGGGAAAGCACATAGAGCAGCAGTGCCACTCACTGAAAGTTTGTGAACCCTGAAATCCCTTTCTAAAAATTTATTGAAACCTGAAACTTCATTTAAAAATTGTTCAACCCTAAAACTTACAAAACTCATAAAATTAATACACTGTAGAAATAATTTCTTGTGCAATGATTACAAACAAAAGCAGAGGAATTTTTAACAAATGGTAGTCTTATCAATAAATCATCATATAATGAAGCTCATAATTGGTCTTAATGATAATTGTGCTTTCCCCATCTCTAGTAGTTCTAGCCTAACTAAGAGGTATGACATATGAATTTCTAAACCCTTAATGAAATGAAAGATAACTCTTTCGCTGCGGCGCAGTGCACTGTACCTTCATCTGCAATTCTAAAAGGCATGGACCAACGCGCTGTGCATTGTTTCAAAATCATGTTTGTTTCTTTGTTATTTCTCGGTTAAACTTTTTAAGAGCTATTTTTTAATAAGACTTTTACATAGAGTAGTGGTACTTCATTGTTTATAAGGGAAACCAAGGTTTATTTGTTGTCATTTGAAGCATTATTTTAATGATTTTCTTCACTGCTTTTTCTTCTATATCAATACTGTTGCTATGGCTACCCTAGGCCCTGGTAGGTGAGTAAGTTTCATAGACGATTAACAGCTCAAAAAGCTTTGGAATTGTTTTATACTATTTCATTTGATAGTGAAGATGATTTTTATTTAGATCCATTTAGAAGTGAAGATAAGGTATGCATACAACATAGGGTTTGGAGAAAAATGGCTTAGCAAATAACGTTTTCACATTTCATGGTTTTTTCTGTTACTTATTTTATTTAAACTGAAGAAATAAATAAGTTGTTACTTATTTTATTTAAATTGAAGAAATAAATAAGTTTACAAACATATTCATATAGTGCATTCAATTATCTTTCATTTCATACCAAGTTAGGTCTTATCAACCAAACAATAATATTTTTAAATAAACCCAACCTTAGGCACGCCAATACCGGATGACGCGGGCGATAAAATCAGCGGGGTTCGTGTGGTACATTTCTGTGACCAGCCGCGAAGGGCGGGTTTCGGTATATGTCGGGCTTTGCCGTTCTTATGCGTCATTTTCTAAAAATAAATAAGTTTCAGTCTTAAACTTTATTTGCTGAAGAATTCCGGTCATGACGGTATAAATGCTGTGTCATTCTGACCTGTCTCAGACGAACAGTTGGAGCGCAAACTGTGGGTAAGTTTAAACTCGTGTTAATTTTTTTGTATAGTGGATGCAAGAATAGAAACTTTAAGACAAGCTAGCTTGATCGCAGTAATTTTGAAAGCATTTATTATTAACATTACTGGCTGTTGCTAGAATTTATGATACTGAGCGATAGAAAAAAATCCACATGTTATGAAAAAACGGCGGCCATCTTTTTTTACATAATTTTGTTGACCGGAGGGGGGTGAAATTATTTGGAAATAAACGCTTTCAATAAAACATTTCTAAATCATTAAAACATCTGATTAAACTAAAGTTTTTTTTAATTCTAATATGAATACACAATATAAATATATACAAGAAAGTATTTAAAAAATTTTTTTTTAGTTTTTACAATTATTCTATAATAAACAAGAAATTGATCAATTTGCAAAAATGAACTCCTCTTCAACAACAACTATGTATTTATTAGCTATTAATAATTATTAGATAAACTAATACTACTAGTATTAGTTATAAGGGTGTATTTTTAGACTTATATTCATAGTTGAATTAAATTAATGAAATAAATACATTTTAATACTAAGGAAATTTCTTTTATTTGTGTGATTTCATTGCAAACAATCTTTTTTTTTGTCAGTCCACCCTAGTTATTATTCTTTTATTATTAGATAAACTAAGACTATACCTATATTCATACTACCTAATTAAATATATTTAACACTGGGGACATTCCTTTAATTTATTTTGTCTCATTAAAGTGATTTTTGTTTAAAAAACAATTTATATTTGCAATGTCATTAGCTTATACTTGAGTCTGTCTTGAGCATTTTCCTTTGTTTTTACTATAGATTCCACGTGGGACATGCATTGCAACCTGAAGGAGATCAATAAACAACCCAATTTGATGTTGACAATGATGTTGTTTTTAATCTACCCATCGATGAGAATGAAGTGTTGCCACTGTTGCTAGAACTCCGGAGCCACGAACCATGTCCACGATCTTTTGAGACAGTTATTGCTCTGTCTTTAGGATATGTTAAGACCACTGTTAAATTATTTTGTAAGTTGATATTATTTAACATAGATCATGAAGAAATAATATTGTCAATTTTAGTTTCTAATGTTCTTATGTGAGATTTTCATTTTGTTAATTTATATTTTGATTGAAATTATTTCAATTTTCAGTTCACTAATTTTAAAATTTAATTTTTAAATATTTTGTATACTTTCAGCTGGACAAGGATACCATCTGTGGACAAGGACACTATCCATTACTGTGGATAGCTATATTGCATTGGATGTTTTTATGTTTGTATTTAAATGTACCAGTACAATAATGTCGATGAGAGATAGATATTAATTTAATAACTTTTATAGATAAAATGTTTTTTAATTTTGTATAGCATGGTTTAAATTGCTTTTGTAATACTTGAATATTCTGTTACATTTGGGTTGTCACTATCTATTTGTATTGAAAATTTCATTGCAATAGCTTTATTAGTTTAAAAGTTATTTATTTAAGTGTAAAAATGTCTCGGCCGCGGTCGCTTTTCATGAAATATTTTTTCTAACGTCGCATACATTTTTCTGATCTGCATTTTATTTATTTTAAATTTACCTTACTTTTAGATGGACATTATCTATTTGTATTGAAAATTTCATTGCAATAGCTTTATTAGTTTAAAAGTTATCTATTTAAGTGTAAAAATATCTCGGCCGCAGTCGCTTTTCATGAAATATTTTTTCTAACGTTGCATAAATTTTTCTGATCTGCATTTTATTTATTTTAAACGTGCCTTACTTTTAGATGGACATTATCTGTTTGTATTGAAAATTTTATAGCAATAGCTTCATTGGTTTAGTAATTATGTCATTTTTTGTAAAATTAAATTTTTCGACTACTGTCGTTATCCACGCCATGTGCAAATAAAATCAATTTTTTTCAAATTTAATAAGTTAATTCACAATTCATGTGTTTTGTTTTGTTAAACATTGTATTGTAAATGTTTCCTCCAAATTTGAGAGCTCTAACTTTAATAGCCAAAAAGATACATGCAAAATAGTACTAAAAGTGTAATAATGCGATCACAGTCTTAAAAATTAAATACAAAGCCGAATAGTGGGGAAAAATAAATCACTAAAAAATTCATAACTTTTCTCCTATAAGTGATAGAAAGATTATCTTGGTGTCATTGGAAAGCTTAGAGCCAGCTCTTTCCAATGATATGCTCTATGTGTATGTCAGATGTATTTGAAAATTTGAGTTGGAGTGCCTACCAACCTCTCCCTCTTTTTTGCTCCTTGAAAAAGTGTTGTTTTTTTTTTTTAATATTCCGCAACGAAAAATTTAAGTTATTAATTTTAATATTATTAGTAGATTTAGTCATTTTCATTTAGTGGTTAGTGTAGTGATAGTGTAGTCCATATTTTTATTTATTATAATTATTTAAATATTTTAATTTGTATTTAATTTATAAATGGCAATTATTATGGCCATGGCCTTGGTTTAGAGTTTAGTTCGGCCCAGTCCCTTGTATCAGTACTATCATTATCCTTTTTTTACCACTGTATTTTGATTTATGCGCTGCATACTGCAGGGCTTTAACTTTAACTAACTTTAGGCTTTTTTGTTTGGCCTAATTATTTTATTATGATTTAAATTTTAGCCTAATGATAAATAATGAATTAATACTTTTACCTCTAGTTGCACATATTCTTTTTCCAGATCATTCCAATCTTCCAAAGCAGCAAAAAGTAAAACGTTTGGGGATGATTCCCGGGACATTTTGATTTGTTGACTGCCTAGAATACAAAGTCTATGTTATGTGTATAGGCTGGTAAGAGTACAACTATAACATGAACAAATAGAGTGCAAGTTGCATTTCGTTGTCTTGTTCCGGTGACGTATAAATTTATTAAAACTGCTACCGGTGAATCGTTAAAATATTAACATTTATTTTATATTACATTATAGAATTATGGATGTAAATCTTAAATATAATACAAATAGCAAATTAATAATATTTCTTTATGTCTAAAATCTAACAAAACAGAACAAATCAACCAAGCAATATATACTATTTAATATTTAATTTTATAGGCCTACCACGAATACCATGATTTGTTAAACAAAAACAAGTCACATTTTCAAGGCCTATATTTATATGAATATGATTTTTTATGATGCGGGCAGTTACACACAAATAAAAATATATTTTCATTACATTTGAATGGGTAAAAACTATGATAGTCCCATTCCCGAATACCAGCTTTCCGATATAGTCAACAGCCAACCTGCTTTACGGTAGTTAGTAGGCCTAAACACACAAGGGTCATAATCTTGAATTTGATAGTTTTGAGCTTATCTAAGAAGTCATCTTATAGCAGGAGGTTGAAGCATGTCTAATAAAGCCTGAACATGTTATCAAGTTACTATAGCCAATGATTAAGACACAAACAATACAATCACCGTAGGCTAAGTCTGGGGTGGATGCAAAGGTCATCCGCTCAGCGTGGACATTTTTTTCTATATTTTAAGAAGGGGCGGCGTTTTCTGCCAACTGCAGACTTATTTCGTAAGTGAGGTGGGGAGCTTGGACATCCCCGGGCAGCACTAACCCTAACTACGCGATTGAACACGATGTATTGCCCTAAATATTAGTTTAAGAAGGATCATTCGCTCACACACAAAAATAAAATAAAAAAATAGCAAATCTGTTTCTAATTTCTCTACCAGTTGGCCAGTAAAAATTGAAGGAAAAAAAATTAATAATAATTGCAGAGCCGAATGTCTTTGCAATAATAAAAATGAAATTATTATCTTTCACGTGGAAGTGTTTCCCAACATTTCTCAGATCCATTTAGGGCAATGAAAATGGGCAAATTATAACGATAAATCAGGCTAGGTCATAGGTCAAACCATCAGGCTCGATCAAGAGTTCCATCAGGCTCGGTCAAGAGTTCCATCAGGCTAGGTCAAGAGGTCAATCAGGCTTTGGCGCAAGATATCAATAAGGCTGGATCAAGAGGTCAATCGGGCTCTAGGCAAGAGGTCAATCCGGCTAGGTCAGGAATTTATGGATAATATCGTTTTGTTTGTCTATATAACATGAAAACAATTATTTATAATTCATTGCAATTTTCAAGCTCTAGTTACGCCACTGTTGGCACTTTATGCAACTAATCTCGAATCAAGTTTGATATTGGTGCATTCAGTGAGAGAGAAATTTGGGGACTGAATAAAATGATTCTTACAGCCACTTTGATTTACATGATTTTACAGACGGTCATAATTTTATGATCAATTTTATTTAAAATAGAAGACCCACTTCCAGATTTCCTGTAGGGGCCAACCTAGGCCATGGCCTGGGGCACTGCACTCAGGGGTGGGTGCGTATGTATAGAAGAAATAACAACTAAGTATTTACACACTTGTCATTATTATGAGATTATATAGATTATATAAAGTAATTGTGTTTTAAAAACAAACCAAATAAAAAACGATTATTATATATTAAATTGGGGGCTAATGCGTAGCTATAAGGTTAGCGCCGCCCGGGCAAGATTTTGGCAGCGCCCTTCCACAAAAAAAAATGTAACCAATGGGCCGACAATGCTCACTCTCCCCATGTATAGCAAAAAGTGCCACCAGGGGTGAGCCGCTGCCTCCCCCCCCCCCCCACTCCCCCCTTGGAGGTGATAATTATAATACTTATAAAGAATTTAATATTTTTTTTTATTTTTTTTTTTTTAGGTCGGGGGTCGTGTTTTTTTTTGCAGGGGTGAGCCGCTGCCTCCCCCCCCCCCCCACTCACCACTTGGAGGTGATAATTATAATACTTATAAAGAATTTAATATTTTTTTTTATTTTATTTTTTTTAGGTCGGGGGTGATGTTTTATTATGCATGTTGGCCTAGGGTGCAGAAATGTGTAAATCCGGCCCTGGAAAGAACCTTGTCCATAGGGTTCTGCCTGTAGATCACTTTTGCTGCTCTACAATCCTCTCAAGGTGTCCTAACCCACGCAGTTTGCCTTTAAAATTGTTTTTATCATTATGGATGCTGAAAAAAAAAGAGGGGGAGGGGGGGGGGCGGAGTTCGAAAAATATCTTTTGCTTCGTACGAATTGTCTATCACCGGACCGGATATTCTCTTAAGGATTCCCCCTTTTCCTAAACCCATGTTTGGTATGATAAAAGTTGAGATCGTTAAAAATGTCGAAGCAAGAGCGTCATGGACATTGGTTGGATAGGATGAAAATACTTTAGTGATTGTTGCTGGATGATTACACCGTAACTAACAGTAAGCTGTTCTAAACAAACAAACAGTTGCTTTGAACTTAAAGATATCCTCCCCCCCCCCCCCCC